TGTTTGTTTGAGAAGATCTTTATTTCTCCTCATATCTGAAAGAGATTCTTGCAGGATATAGTATTTTCGACAGGCAGTTTTTATCTTTACCTATTTTGATTACGTCATTGTATTTTCTCTTTCCTGTAGTTTTTTCACAGAGAAGTATGATGTTATCCTTATGTGGGTACATTTATAGGTTATCTTTCGAACCCCTCCCTGGCCACCTTCCATATTCTTTGTGTTGAACTTTTGGAAGATTCATGACTACATGTCTTGGTATAGGTTTTCTTTTATTTAGGTAACCAGGCTTTCTTTTAACTTCATGGACTTATGTATTTAGTTCCTTCCCAGCTTTGGGAAGTTATCCTCAATTATTTCTTTGAATAAATTCTATTTCCTTCCTCTTCTATTTGAGGTAGTCATTATTCTTGTATTGACTTTCCTAGTAGAGTCAAATATTCTCAATGTTTCTTTATAATTCTCTTCTTCACCTTGATTCTTTGTGCATTAATGTTTTTGAGGTCACTGATTTGATAATCCATTTGGTGTGTTCTTTTTTAAAAATTTTTTAAAAGATACATTTATGCATATAACAACTAGGGTACAGGCCAGAGGTGTGGGGGATGAGAGGATTCATCAGAGACAGAGTGGGGAACAGAACAGGCAGATTGACTGAAGTACACTGCTGAGGGGAGCAGCAGGTGAGTCAGGAGAGGTCTGCTGTGCCATGTGAGTAGCTTCCTGGCTGCGGATGCTTCATAGGCTGCATCTTAACCTCTTGTGCCACAAGGGAGGCTCCTCCATTTAGTTTATTCTACTTCCATAAGTTTCCAAAAGTTTCGATCTCCTCTGTTGAAATTGCATCCAAATTTATTTTCTTATTTAAAGCTTCAAGTTCAATCTCCTGTTAATTAATTTTATTTCTAGCACATTCATTTGTTTTTCTGAGTGTTCATGTATATCTTTCATCAGACTTTTTATTTTTTTTCCACTTATTTGAATTTATCATGATAATTTTGAACTCTATATCTGACAGAGAAATAATCATCCATGTCTTTGTGGTTGTGCTTGGGAGAGTTTTTCTCTTTTTGGTGACATATTTCCTTAAGAAGGATTCAGTGTGTCATGTGTTGTATTTTCTTGTATGCACGTTTTGTAGCTTTCTCTTTTGTTGTGTTTTTTGGAGTATTTGGAGTATGCATTACTTCCACCTGTCCAGCAGATGACACTGTGCCTTTAAAAAAAACTTCCCTGACAGGTGTTTCTGTACGTTGTATGTCATGGAAAACAGATGAACAGTTGCTGAAATGGGGTGGGAGAGGATATTGTAGAGGTCCAGTAGCTGATGATCATTTCTGTGTGGGACCTTGCTTGTATTTGTGGCTCTGCTGATATACCACTCCTCTGTGGGTTTCCAGACCTACTTTTCTGCAGTCTCCTCACTGTCACTGTGCTTCACAGTGTCAACACCAGTCTTAATGGTGTGTGGGGTAGGGAGTGCATTCCAGGGCTCTCTTGTCTTCACCAGGGACCCTTTCTACCTGGCATGTCCCAGCTCCGGTTCATGTATCTCATCTAAATCAATGGTGTGCCCCCATACTACTCATTCTCTCCCCCTAGGGCCACCAGCAAAACATGGGATTATAGCTCTGAGGTTTGTTTGGCAGGTTCTGACCTGGCCAATGTCTCTGGGTGTTGCTCAGCACTCACCTTTTTTGTTGTATGAGGTTGGATTTAGTTATATTTCCTCATTATTCTTTTTGGGCACTATCAAAACAAATTTGGGCCAATTTCCACAAGGTGATCTAGTTTTGTCCCAAGTCATGGGACCCTGTGGTTCCAGTGCAGCTCTGGACTGCTTTTAGATTATCCTCCTTGGAACTTCCTTTTATACCATCTTCTTATTTTATCAGAATTTGACGTTTTGCTTTCAAACTGCAGTATAATTGGTGGTACAATCACTGCTTTCATTCATGGTCACCATCTCACTGAATTTTTTCTTTTCTCTAAGTAACACACTGTGTATCACTTACCAGCACTGTGCTTCCCCCAGCAGCAGTAGTTGCCTCCGACTCCCATCTTTGAATTTTAAAAGCTGGACTTCCATATTCTTTAAAGTTCTTTCTCTCCTAGCATTTTATATTTGTTAATGACACTGCCACCTTTCTGATTCAACAACAAAAGACTCCCCTAAATTCTTTTCTACTGCTACCATCAGACTTTTGTCAGATTTTCCTTGTTTATCTTTTCAAATGTCCACATCTTCCTCATTGCTTACCAGAGTTACTTCTACAACTTCTTTTGTATATATTGCCTCTATTGTTGCCTTACCTCCATAGCAAATCCTTTGTTCTTCTCCATTACCAGTAAAATCTGAATTTTATGACTTGGCACACAGAGCTGTGCTTCATCTGACCCAACCTTACCTCTATTGCTTCCATTTTCTGTTCTCCCAGTTCATACCCTCACAAACTCCTTAGAAAGTCGGAGCATCTGGTCAGTCAACAAAAGGGCCCAGGTCTTTGAATATTTCAATTCTGCTTTGAACATCCTAACCCTCCTTTCCCTCAGGCTGTTTTCCTGTTAATCCTTAGGAGTCAGTTCTGTTACTTAGCTGCCCTTGTTTTTATTTATTGTTTCCACCTTCCTAGTATATATTGAATATCTCTTGTAGCACATAGTATATTTTTAATCAGTTCATATTTCCTTCATTTGGGTATGTAGCATGTCTTCCAGGTCCTTCTTTTGTGTCTCTAGGAAATGAGATTTATATGGCATAGATGCCATGTTGGCATCCAGATCTGCTGGTGTGCTATATTAGTGTGACCTGTTATAAAACAGGTCTGCATATATCTCAGTATCTGTGTTAAAAACTTTGAACCTTGTATTAAAAACTCAAAAACTTTGAACTTTGTGTTAAAAATCTCTGTGTTAAAAACTTCTTAACCTTGACTATGGAATTTTTACCCATAAGGAAACAATACACTTTTCTTTCTCTTACATATCTATACATAGGACTATCTTTGCATAAAATTAGTTCATTAAAAAGTGGTTATAGGTAGGGCCTCCCCGGTGGCGCAGCGGTTGAACACTGGGTTGCGAAGCTGCCCGCATCCTCTGCAGCACCGGTTCGATGCCCGGCAGCCGGGCAAGGGTCCCACATGGCGCGCAGACCTCTCCTGCCACCCACTACTCCCCTAAGCAGTGTACTTCGGTCCTTCTGCCTGTTCTGCTCCCCGCTCTGGCGCTGGTGAATTCTCTCACCCTCCCTCTCTTCTGACTGTACCCAGTGCTTGTGCAAATAAATAAATAAATAAATAAATCTATCTTAAAAAAAAAAAAAGTGGTTATAGGCAGTAATAATGGCTAGTTACCAATAGAATTGGGAAGGTATTTTATAGAATTAACTGAAATTCATGATTTCAACCTAAATCAATTTCCTGTTTTTCCTCATATGAAGAGTTGCCTTTTAGAATGTTCCTTGGAAATAATTTGGATTGTCCTTTTCTCTTGTCCTTAATTTCATGTTGCTATGTTTTACACATATCTTACACATATTTTACACATATTTTCATTCAGGTGATATTTGCTGCTAAGCTTTATGTTGTTTATTTTTGCTTTTTTTTTTTTTTTTTTTTTTGAGTTGACTATAATTTGCATCATTTCCAGAAACCTTTGCCATCTTTTCCAGACTGAGACTGATTTAACTTCTCTCAGTGTTAAGAAAGATCATTTATATGCTCTTTGAGATTTTTTAAAATTACATGGTATTGCTGAAAAAAACATTTGTGTGTACTTAGGTAATGGTTGGCAAGGGAGTGGAAAGAAAGCATTTTAAACTTGACTTTTTGACATGAACTGGTTACAGCTGAGTGAATGTGCACTGGAAAAGTCGAATGGGTTTTAAGTTTTTTCTTTTTTGTTTAAAAAATGTTTCCCTTTCTTCTATTCTGGCACATTTTTTACCCCCACTTTAAGCAATCTTAAGTTTTGACAGTAGTGGCATGCTATGGTCAGATTTTAGTGTTTAGATATCAAATACAACAATTATGATATATTTCAACCAGCAGGAACTGAGACCCCTGTTGATATCTTAATCCAAAAAAGGCATTTTAAATTCATATAAACCTTGCCTTAAGGGATGGAGAAAGGACAATTTAGGGAACAGCATGAGGTTAAACATATTGATCAGGAGACCTGTCTTTCTTGCTAGATTTTAGTAGAATGTAGACTTAGAAAAATAACATCATTAACAGAAATAAAGATACTTTGCTTTTCTAGATACAGTCTTATTTACTTCCATTCTTTGGTGTTTATATGATGTTTCAGCCAATGATTAAAAAAATAGAAAGGTTAAAAGTAAATAGTGATTTTTAATTTATATAATTTTGGGTATGTTCTAAAGGATCTGGTTAAGTTATATTCTTTGTGTCTTATATTTTTATGTCTTATTAATTAACATATCATGCACTAATATTGAATTTTGCTAATGTATAAAACTATTTGATAAATTTTGCAGTATTAATTGTGCATTGTTCAGTTACTAGTTACCACAATCCCATTACCCAGATCAGTGCTTTTATTGACCTTGAAATCATTCTGACTTTGGGCGTCTTTTGATAAATAGAAAATCATTTTATTCTGTTTTAGGTCTGTGCTTTTCTTCCAATATGGACCCACAGATTTAATATTTTATTCATGATGTGTTCAGCTTATGTTATTTGTATATGGAAGACTGTTTTGGGGCAAAAAAGGAACTTTTGATTAGTGAATTTTTTTATGAAACACTAAAGTGCCTAATGCAGCTCTCTTATCTCCCTCAAAATCCCCAAAATAAATAGAAAAAAATGAAAACTCTACTGAATGTATATTTTTTGTATAATTTATAATTGATTAAAATATTTTACGTACAAATTATTTTAATAGACTCTCCAGTGAAGGAAGATATTTGACACTAAAAGTATTCTTTCTTTAATGTTGGAAACCAAGTCTGAGTCTTGCTGTGTAATCTGTTGTAGGTAGCGTGTATGCAGCTCATCAATGCCCTTGTTACTTCTCCTGATGATTTGGACTTCAGGCTTCACATCAGAAATGAATTTATGCGTTGTGGATTGAAAGAGATCTTGCCGGTAAGTGCCCTGCAGTCTCCTCATTAATATTTAAATTAGAGGAGTACTTGAGTAGGGGGAAATTTAGATAAATTACCTTCAAGAATAGTTTGGGGGGAAATAAAACTTGAGAATAAAAATCTGGTTTTGAAATACAAGTCAGATTTGAGTATTATTTGACACTTACAATTTTTAATGCTAGAAATCTGTTAAAAGGTTGGTTTATTGTTTATACTTTTCATTCTTTTTTTCACTGTTCAAAACAAAATGATTCATCCTAGTTTCTATTTAATATCTCTAGAACTTAAGACATGTTAAGAATGATGGCTTGGACATCCAACTTAAAGTTTTTGATGAGCATAAGGAAGAAGATTTGATCGAATTCTCCCATCGCCTTGAGGATATTAGAGCTGAACTTGAATATCCTTTTGTTTTGAAGTATATTCAAATGCATGAAATTACTGCCAAATTCCTATCAACCAATCTCTCCCCACAATATTAAACTTCTGAAATTATTTCTATATAAAGAATATAAAATCAAGTCCTTATTAAAGAAAAGTGTGTTCATATAAAAATACTAGCTTAATGTGTGTTTTTATGACTAAGCATGTAGATAAATGGATATTCTATGAATCAATTCTTTTGGATAGGCCTCTTATGTATATGTATGTTTGGCACCACCCTCACTATTAACTTTCCAGCATAAGTAATAAGAGTAACCTTAGCACTGCCCAGTACTGGGGGTGCATACACTTAATTGCCTGTGGTAATTCTCTGGATTTGTAAATGTTTGTGTTTTCATGGAGCTCCACCAGTTTCCTTTCCCAGGGCTTCTTCCTCGGAGAGAATTCCTGGCACCAGTTCTCTTGGTCAGTTGCCCCCGGAACCTAATACCATTGGAGGAGATGGTAGAGGAGAAGCCACAGAGTGTTAGGTCAAGTCCTCATTTGCACACAGTTTTCCATCTGCTCTCAATCCTAACTACCTGCGTTTTATCACTTGCTAAGTATCCATGATGCCTCTCTTAGAGTAAGACACATGATAATTTTCTGAAACCTTACTGAGTGAAATTTATTTCATATTATTTGCAGTTCTTTGGTGTAGAGGATAAATAAATCACATATTCCTTAATCAATTTACTGAAGCATCTGATGTTTACAATATTCTGTGGAACAGAGTTAAAGAAACTGGAGCAGAGAGATATTTTATTTCTATTCTTCAGCACCTTTTGTTGATTCGAGATGATTATTTTATCAGGTAAGAGGTAGTTATTTTCTAATTTTTATTTATTTATTTTTTGCTAATTCTATCATGGAAATTATCTGATTTGGGCAAACAAATAATTATACGACTTTTATTTCTTTCAAAATATTGTTTCATTGAATGTGTTTCCTCTGGGCATCTATGTAGATAGATTATGATTAAATGATACTACTATTTCTTTTTAAGCTCCAGTGGATTCTGGTTACAACTTTTCATCCAAATAAAAATGCAAACTAGTAACAAATTACTAGTATATCAGGTGATGAATAATATTTTCTGGCTACTCCTTAGGCAGAAACAATGATGTAAATTTCCTTTTATAAATTACATGAAGGATACTAAAGCTTGCTTTATTAGTGTTTAAATAGTTAGAAAGCTCCTAATACTAGTTGTGTTTAATGTTGCTAATATGTCAGAAAGCTAGGCAAATTATTTTTTAAGTTTGCTTGTACCCTAGCCATATCAAGCTCAAGAAATTGTTGATACAATCTTGTACGATATCTGTTTGTAGCTTTTATGGTTCCCAGCACCTGCCTTGATAGGTTGTTATGAAGATGAAATATGATAACATGGGAAAAAATCTTATCCACATAATCTTGCACATGTGTTTTCAATAAATGTGCTATCTCCTCTTTTCCACTTTTCCTTGTGTTTTATGTGGGATGTTAAGATCTTTCAATGTAAAGCCATTTTTATAGCCATTAATTTAGCCTCTCTGAACTTTCATTTCAATTACTGTGGTTACTACTGTCTTTTCTTCCTCTATTTTCAAGTAGAAGGATTTGTTAGACACTTCCCATTCAGAATTTGCCTTGTGGATGATGTCAGAGGCAGGTAATTTGGGCTTTTGATGTACCTAACTAGAGGAATAAAATAAGTCAAATGTTACCTGGCATGAGTGTGGGTCATCTGTCTTGCTGCCTCCTTTTATAGAATTTGGGGATCCTACTGGTACTCTAAAATAGGAGTTTAATAACCTGTTTTGATGCACTTTGCATTTCTAATGTTTAATTAGAAATAAAAGTTTAATATTTAACCACTATAAATGCTAGATTAAAAATACTAATATTTTGATTGTTTTTTAAGTATCACATGTACACTGCTCATTATAATACTATACTACAAATTTTCTTAAAAATAAAATGGAAACTTTCATTTAATGTAAAATAACCCTTCCATTTCTTGACCTATTTATGGTTTGTTCTGTCAACCTCTGGTTGTTTGATGCTATTTAAATGTCTAAGAATTCAAAACTGTTGCTAATTTGCTTTGTAGAGTGGAATGTGTACATAGTACTAAAGGGGCTATATCTTACTTATGATTCTAATCTCTTCTTTTGTGACCCAAGAGTGCATGCAGTTATATCCAACTTCAAAAATGATTTAAAAGCACAACTGTCGTGGACCATGATCACATGATTCCCTTTAGTGGAATCAAGAATTCCCTTTAGTGGAATCAATGACTACTAAATTATATATAGTGTTGTTAAGCACCGTTACTACTATGAAAAAATAAAACAATTTTTTTTTTAAAGCACTGCTAAAGAGACTGTGAGGCATGAAAGAGACAGTGACACATTAGGTATTTTGGTCAATCTTTTGAGCATCAAATTTTTAATTTGATATTCATCTATTTTTTTTTTTCTTCCTTGGCTTTTAAAGCCTCATCCCTTAATCCGTTAATTTGTTCCAATCATGGTTACTATGAGGCTCTGTTTTCCTATGACTGCTATAATCAAGGTGATTCCATTTATTTTACCCCATCTTCCAGTATCCTCATAATAATTAATATTGTTACTTTTTATAGAGATAGAATGCAATTACTAAAAGACTGAATCACAATTGTGTTAATTTATATATTTATAAATTTATAAATTTAATTTATAATTACAAATTTATAAATTTAAAATATTCAACTTTTTATTTATATATATAAAATATACTGTCAGTCCTGGGAAACTTGTTCTTTTGCTATTCATGTGTTGGTTTCACTGTCAGATGGATCTGTATTTTACCATTCAGAAGTCTTCAATATCTGCACATTTTGTGTTTAATGAAAGTTTTTTACAAAATTTGATAGGATTTTTAAGTTTCTTGTGTTTTATTGCAAAATGCAAAATCTCATATAAGAGCTCTAGTCAATAAGAAAATTAGTCTTTGCTCATTTCCACATTTGAAACAAAAGGAAATTTTACTGAAGTGGAGATTGATGGGAAAATTTATATCAAATGCAGTCCCTACCTCCCAAAAAAAGTCAGATGCAACTAGATAATTGGACAGTGTAGTAAAAGATAAACTTCAATTTTGTAACAAATAATCATTTACCATGTGCAAAATACTATGTTAGTTGAATGTACATGAGACTTTGTATTTGGTAAAAATGCTGCAGAGTGTGAGCATGATTTCAAAGTATCCTACAACAAAGATGTTTCAACAATGAAGTAATGGCAATTTATGTTCATTTTGTAATTAAGGTTATTCACATATTCCTGTGTTGTATTCAATAACTCACCAATACTGCTCAGATTATTTTCCAAATTTACATTTCTGGACTCTAGAAGCACACAATTACTTGCTGAAAGTTTTGCGTACACTTCCAGCTACATTATAAATAGTCATAATTGGAAGTTGTAGAAGTAAGAATACATTTATTGAAGTGTTATTTTAAAGCATTTATTATTAAAACAATATTAGGATAACATTGAATGAATAAAATGAAATGGAGTGCTTCAACTAAATTTTCTAATGTGACAGATGTAAATGTATGTGCAGTTTATGTACCTATCTGTAAATGTGGTTATTATGGCTAAAATAGTAGAGAATTGGAGATTATTTCTTTGAAAGGTGTTTAGAAAATTGAGGAAAAATTTAATAATATATTCTGGTTTTGATTTTTCCCAAGAACAGTGTCTTGAAAATTTTCACTCAGTGATAGAGTCATTAGTCTTTTTACTAATGTTAAACTGTAGCAAATTTTATTCAATGTGATGGATGGCTTAGAAGATGTAAGTTGGTAGGTAAAGGAATATAAGTCATAGTTTATAGGGATGAAAATCCAAAGCGAACTAGAGAGGCCATACATCCATGATGAGAGGGTTTGTAGAAGAGAAGTGTGTGAAAGCCATTGAGGGAAGTAGTTGGGGAAGTAGTTGGGAATGGTGGACTGTACCTCAATAGGATAGTATCCATTCTCTCTATCACTTCAGTTTGGTTTTGTTTATAAACATTTCTGGATATTTCATATTTGTTTACTGGAGTTTTAAGCACCTCCTTTGAGCTCATTACACACATAGGTGAACTGAACCTAACCCAATCCTCTTTGGTGATTTTAAACTTTAATTTTGGAATAAACATTATTAAATATTTCTAGTTTCTTTTTTAATAAGAAATACTTGTTATTGTAGATAATTTTAAGCATCAGTGCTTAATTTGATTCTGTAGATAGTCTAAAAGGCTTACGGTATGGTTTTAAGAACCTTCTGAAAAAAATTTTTGGAAAGATTTTTTGTTTGGTTTGTGTTGTTCACAAAATAAATTTATAATAGCCGTCTTAGTATGGTGCCATTTGTTTTCTAGTAAGGGCTACTTTTAAATAAATACCACTTTAATATTTTCATTTTTTATTGCCTACTATGAAGTCAGAGTTCTGTTTTGATAAGAATATCATTAAAGCATGCTATATTTGCTAAAAGATTATAAAATGTCTTCAAATCATTAGGAGGAAAGTGGATGGCAATTATATTTGCTCTCCCATGTTAAATTTCTATATCATCTGTTGAAACCTTTTAATAGTACATTATTGAATTTGAAATCAAGTTTACCAAACAAGTGTTTTGTATTGATGTGAAGTTGTATTTATAAATTGAGTGTATGTTTATTCTTTTCTCTGGTTTTAGGCAACAGTACTTCAAATTAATTGATGAGTGTGTATCTCAGATTGTACTGCATAGAGATGGGACGGATCCAGACTTCACATACCGGAAAAGACTAGATTTAGATTTAGGTCAATTTATTGGTAAGTATTTATACATTACTTAAATGAAAGTATCTTATTGTCCTTTACTCTGTGGGTGAGCTCTAGAATATTGGTTCTCATAGTATGACCTGTAGACAGACTCATTTGTGGTCTTTGATATCCTTTCAGGGAGTCCTAATAGTCAAATCTGTTTTCATTACAATACTAAGACTTTAGTTGCCTTTTCATTGGCTGATGTTTACATGGATGGTACAAAACAATAGTTGGTAAAGCTTTGAAAGCTTTGTCATGAATCATGGCAGTGGGACTAAACTTTATTAGTAGTAATTGTATTCCTTACAGTAAAATAAAAAAATAATAAAAATGGCCATTTTTTTAACTTTTCTTTGCTAGAAAAGTCAAAATGATACTTTGATATAATAGCTACGGCTGAATACACATTATTTTAATGGTCCCTGTGGCAAAACGAGATGTATACATGAAACACTATTGCTCCACACCTAAGTTTAGTGTAGGAAATATTTGTGTAATTGTTTGAATTTTTCAAAAAAAAAAATTTAACTCCAAAGAATGATTGCCATACAAACTGTGGCCACTCAGACTGGTGTGTTTTGCGTATGCTTTCTTGAAAATGCAGTATGCCTGTAACGTCAAGGAAATGACAGATAGAATTTGTTTACATGGTAATGATTGAACTTTCAAGTAAAAATTTGCTTGTGTTCACAGTACTGTGAACAGTTTCCCAATACAAAAACTTTTTTTTTTTTTTTTTTTGGGTGGGAGAGGTGATGTTATTAACCTGCATGATTATTTTGATATCATATGATGAGATATGTCAGCATATCTCAGTTGCAGAAGGATCTGCATAACTTTGTAAACCACTCTTCCAAATGAACAGTGGCTGATATTATAAAATCTGCAAAGGTACAAGATAGATGGATTTTGAAGCAGTAGAGTACAAAATACTCACTGCTACTATATGTAACTGCACATTGTAACAAATATTTAAGAAATTTAAGAATTAATTTCTTAATTCTTAATTAAGAAATTAATTAAGAAATTAATTAAGAAATATTTAAAATATGTCAAGTTTTGGTATAATATCAAAAAAGAATATACCCCATTATTTGTTTGAGGTTTTTATTTCCTGTAATTTCTGAGTCTAGGGAAAGTTATGTAATATGTAGAAATAGTAAGGAATCTAGATAGTTTTAGGCATAAAGGAAATACTGGCTTCTCTCCATAAGAGAGAAGCAATTAGAAATTCCTTGAAGTGGGAGGGACACAGAAATTAAGAAAATTGTGCTTTATGTGGAAAACTAAAATATGGAATAATTTTAAATGGTATCTGAAAATAAAATACATTCTACCTGGACATTTGGAACTCAGTTTTCTTGACTATATAAGAGGTTCTGACATAGAATTGTTAGTAGGATAAATAATCTTGAAGCCAATCTGTATAAGGGAGAAATATCTGTATAGTTAAAATAATTTTTAAAGTTTTAAATAAACTTTTAAACACAATGCAGAAGACTTACATACAGAAAAGAATGACATTGTAATTACAGAGAAGATGTGAGGTTGGGCAGTAGGGGAGACAGATGTTGGAAAGTATGGGGCATAGATAACTTCACATATTAGGATGGAAATTAAGAGATACTATCCACAGTATCTGAAGTACTGAGTGCTTCAGAGCAAGGAAATGTAGAAAACAAAATTATTAAAAATTAGGATTAGATGGGGAACATTGTTTGCATCTTTTATTGTAGGTGTTATGTCTAATATCTTCAAAGTCAAATCAAGAAGTAATGATATATACATTAAGAGTTAGGAAAACAGGCATCAGAGTAAGAGTAAGTTAATACAGAAAATAATAAGACATCTCATATAAGAGTTGGGATTACTTTTGGATACAGTTGTTTGGTTTATGATTTTTTTTCATTTGTAGGTTCTGTAATATAGTTCATTTTTCCTGTCTTATTGGGATATAATTGATACACATTACTGCATATGTTTAAGGTGTATAGCAGAATGGTTTTTGATTTTTAAAAAAAAACTATGTTCATATATTTCATTTATGAAAGTCATAAAATATAGCATAAGGAAATCTATGTGAATTGTTTCTCTTACCTATATATGATCATGTGGCTGTGTATTGTAGTCTTTTTAATCAACCCATTATTAATGGGCATTTATTTTCCATTTACTGCTAAAAGAAACAATATTTTAATGACTATATAGCTTAAAGGTCAAGTCCTTTAAATAGAATTGCTGGGTAAAAAAATAATGTTTTAAATGTAGTATTTATTTCCTAATTATACTAATGTGTGGTTGAATTAGTTTTCCCAAACTATCTCCAGCTCTTGGCATTACAGATTATTTAATCTTTGTTGTTTGTCATTAATTTTTTTTTTTATTTTTGTATCATGACAAGTATCCACTCACAAACTATTGACAATTTTTGATTTTGTTATTCCTAGTTCTGTTCAGTGCTTATTCCCCGTTTTTCTAGTTTGTGTTGGTCATCATCTCTTCCTTTAAACTATTAGGGATTGATAAACTTTTGAGTATTCTGTATTACAGTTTATTTACCTCCTACTTTTTCCTCAAAGAAGCTTAAAAGTATAGTTGGGTTTGCCTTTCCTTTTCTCTTCCTGTCATGCTTAGGAAAAACCTTCATTCCAACATGATTTTCTCCTTGTTGCTTATTTTATTTCTAGTACCTCTTTTCAATCATAGTTTTTCTTTATCTAAATTTTCAAGCTTGATGAAGTAATATTGCAACATAAATTTTCCTGTCATTACAATTTTAGATACTTGCATCGATCAAGCAAAACTAGAAGAGTTTGAAGATAAAGCATCAGAATTTTACAAGAAAGTAAGTAACATTGGCAAGCATTGCAGTGCCACATAGGGGACCAGTGCAAGTATAATTCTTCCTCAGAGATTCTGCTTGTTATTATCCAGTTTCTTCTCTACTGTTTTCAGGTATTTTCACAATGCCATCCTTCAGTGAGGACTTCCCAGAACTTAGTATTTAAAAATGTTAGCTCCCTGTTCCCAGTCTCGACTCTCCTTATTTGTTTTGCTTCTGTTGTATTTATCTTCAGCCCAATGTGCCAAGTAGTTTATGTGTGTAGATGAATTTGTTCTCTACTTCTCTCTCTAGAGTAAACTTTATGATGAATTTTTATTTACTTTATTCACTATTCCTGCAATGGGAGCAGTTCCTGGCCTGTGTAAAATTGAAATAAATATTTTTAAATAAGTGAATGAATAAATGATCTGACAAAATAGAGTGTCAGAATTGTAAGATTGGATTATTTCTCTATAAATCATACAGATTGGACCTATAAGATTGAAAAATTATCTAAAAATCAAGGGAAAGGTGAAGTTTTTGTTTTGATTAAATGCTTCATTAAATCATGTTGAACTATATAAAAATAGTCATTTTCATAGTTCACAAGTATCCATTTCTAACAGTTTTATCTGTGGCAGCCTAGTATTTCTAACCATCTAACCATTCCTTCACCCTTCTTTAAGGTCATGTTTAGCGTTTTTATATCTATTTAATTTGTACCTTTTAGACTATGGATTTTGTATTTATGTTGCTGTTCTTCACATTTTAACCAATAGCTCTGGTTTGAATTCTTAGGGCTGATTTTTGTGGGGGACTGGTCTCTTACTTTGGAGGAATAATAATACTTATTTCTTACCTCCAGCACATTAATCATAATAGGCTATATTCTATAAAAACATTTACCAAGTGTTAACGATCATGTCAAAGAGTCTACATTTTTGCTGGATTAGGATCTAAATGAATCTGGAAAGACTTGTACATTTTTAAATACTGTCTGATATAATTTGCAAATGGTAGACACTTTCATAAGTTAGAAGTATTTTATAGAGAAACATTGTAAATGTCCTAAGAAGACTTAAGATTCACCACTTAGAGGTTATCATATCCCACACTTTTTGCTGCAGGTTAGAGATTATAGCTATAAGTATGATACTGTTGTTCTGAAGTGACTTAGTCTAGTGAAATAAATGTTAAGTTGATAGATGCTTGTGTGTCCTGTGACCCCTCACATCACTACGTATTCCAAACTCTTTGAGCACTGTGCTCTTTGTGAGCAAATGGTAGTAAACTTTCAAGTACTTAGTTTGAATGCATCTCACATAGTGTAAATTTGCTTCATAATTTTTAACTATAGTATATAAGAGTGGTGTTAAACATAGTAAATTTATTAACACATTATTTTAAAATTGCAAGTTTAAGCATAAAGAGAAGGACCTTGCTCAAGGTTAGTTGTCTCCTTTCAGGTCAAAGTTACATCTCTTAGGTACATTCAGAAAATATTGTTTGCTGCATAAATGATTTCTATTGCCATGCCATTTTGTATATATCAGCAAGAACTTCTTTTTGATAGCTTTATAAGGACACATGTAAATACTTTGCTTGAGGCAGGAAGCTATCATAGTTGCTAGACACATTCTTTATTTTGGTGCATAAATTTGAAAAATGAAGACCTGAAATGTCAAAAAGTACATAGAGAATATTGAATTATCAACATCCTCGTAGAGATACACTAATACATTTACCCTAGGGAATGAAATTAAGCAGAGCCTCAACCTTAACTGTGTTTTTTGACATTTTTGCATGTAATTTTGTAAGCATAATATCACTCCAGTATCTCTTTTTGGAGAAGGCTATCATACCTATTTTTATAAAGTATATCTTTAATGGAGATTCATTTTATCCCCAAAGCTACTGTGATTTGACTATAGGTATTACAAAAATGCTAAAGCAAAGTTTATATTTTGTCCAATCCTTTTATAAGGGAGGATATGGAAACTTATCCATATGGTAAGTAACACAGGTATTTTTAGTATGTCAAAGTTAACTTAGAAGTTCTTTTACAGTGTGCTAATTAAGACTGGTTGTTTTAATAGCTTCATGCTGTCCCCCTAAATACTCTTTTCCTTCAATTTTATTTGAAGGTCTATGATATAGGAAGGTATAGATATTGATATGGTGAATAAATTCTTACTCACCTAAGAAGAATTTGTTTATTTCCGGTTAACAAGTGTTAACAGTGACCTCCAACACAAAGACCAGAGAAAATGTCTTAAAGTTATATTATTTTTACTTGAGTGTAGTGATATGGTAGGAAAACTCTGTGATGTATAAGCCCATAGGATTCCTCGTCTAATATCAGGTAGCCAAGGAAGACTTACCCAAAGAAGTAATAGCTAATATGACAACCCTAATGGGTCAGTATGAGGCAACAAGATATCTCAGGAGGAGGCATATAAAAGTGTACTTTTAATTTCTGATAGGAATATTAAGCTTAACACATTCAAAAACAAATTCATCTTTCTTATTCTTAAAAGAATAAGCATATTGTGCAGATTCTAATACTTTGGTTCCAGCTTGCAAAACAACGGAACACCATAGTTATCTTTGATATATTTCCCTTACTCGTTTCCTTCATTCAATTGGAAACTTTTTTTTATTCTTAAATTATTTTTTTGCTTCATTTCTTTTCCATGAACCTGTGTTGCACCTTATTTCAAGGGGGCCTTCAATTCTTTTTTAATTTATTTTTGCATAAGACAACTGGGGTATAAGCCAGAGATGTGGTGGGTGTGAGAATTCACCAGAGACAGCGTGGGGAGCAGAACAGGCAGATTTTACAGAAATGAATTGCTAAGGGGAGCAGTGGGAGAGACAGAAGATGTCTGCTGCACCTTATATGGATTAGCTTCCTGGCCGAGGATGGAACTCAGGCTTCAGCTATGATAGAGCTGATACTTAACCCCTAGCCACCAGGGGAGGGCCTTCAATTCTTGCTTGGATAAATGTACTAACCTTTTTTTCATTTCTGTACCTATTCTCAGCCCATTTTCCATCCTGTTGCTGGTTGTTTTCCAAAGTGCAAATTCAGTCATGGCATTTTCTTATTATAATATACTAATAGCACTCCATTGTTTTTAGGAAAAAACTAAAAGCTTTTGGCTTGCTGCAAAATTTCTTTCAACTATTTCATTCCCTTGTACTTCAGCTTCATCCCATTCAGTTTGTTCTTTTACCACCCTTTGTGCCAGCAGCAAGGGATTACTTCTCATTTTTCTACATACTCCATTAGTCCCTTTAGTCCCTCTATTTGAAACGACTCAATATTTGCAAACCTGAGCTCAAACATTGGTCCTCCAAAATCACTCACATGCTCCTACTCTGTTTCTCTATTTCTGGTGAATTTCATAGCCTTCGGCTTGTTAGCTTCCTTTGCAAGCAAATGTTATGCTTGTTAGAAGCAGTGGCATATTCTGCTCAAATCTGTTTCTTCAACACTTAACCACTAAGGAAAACATAGACATACTATTAGAGATTTACTATACAGTGGGAAATGGGTAGGTAATTTGGGGCCAGATCCCAGTGGGGTTTAGATACTAACATAATAACTGGCTACTTTATTATGAAGCCACTGATGGTTTAAGATCAAAGGAGTCATGTTCTTTGAGCTGTTCTTTAGTAAGAAAATTATTAAACAAAAAATTATGGTGGGATGAGGGGGACTATGGGCTTTGAAAATTGTGTGTGTGTATGTGTGTGTGTTAAAAATGTTCACTAATTTGTCAGAACACATCAGCTGATTGGCAGTCTGGGATTTGGATGAGAAGTTGAGCTGGTGATACAGATTGGGAAGCCATTAATGTATGAATGATGATTGAAACATAGGACTGGTTTGTACCATTTTGTAAGAAATGTGGAATGAGATAGGTAGAGGGGTGAGGAAAGATGACAGTGTCTTACAGGATTCCAACAGAGGGTTGTTAGATTGAGGAACAGGAACCCACAAAGAATTGGGAGGAGCCATCAGGAATTAGCAAGAAAACCAGAGGAGTGTGTTCTAATGGAAAATACAGGAGAAGAGAGATTAAATATGGAGTTGTATTGAGTGAGTAGTAATCTTGGTGTGGTTTGGTGAGGTGAAGGGCATTTGGATGGTGTTTACCTGGTAGCTTCTGTTATCTTTGTTAAAGAACATCAGGTTTAGAGTGAGAGGATAATGAGTCCAAAATTTACTTTCCTAATTTGCAAATGAGACTTACCATATTTCTTATTACAACTTTGTGTGTGTACAATGAAGTGTAAGATTGTTTATTCTAATGCTTTAGACACTGTAAAACATGGGTGAGGCTTTGCAAAAGTGAGAAAGTTTATGGGAAATATCTGGACCTCTTGACCAATTTGATAGTGTTCCTAAAATCTCTTAAAATAAAGATTTCACAGTTAACTTTTTTGAGCATACTTTAAACATTAATTATAGGAAGGTGGCCTGGTTTTATTTAAGTAGCTCAAGTTTTGAAGATGGAAAATCTGGCCTTTTATTCTCACATATTTTACTAATTAATTAGCAGTGTGATGAGAGACTAGTTAACTACCTGTTTGTGTTAAGGGCAAATAAGATTTATAAAAATAAAAACTCTTAGTTGTTGAGCTCTATATTATCATTATTTCCTAATTGAGCTTTGAATGTATTTTGAAGTCTCAAGGCAACATTTATAAAGTAATTACATTGGAAAAAAGGTATTATTTTTCAAGAGAGTCAAGTATTTACACTTGATTTTGAGACTCTACCCTCATAAAATTCACTGGTTAGGAGAGGTTTTCAGTCATGAGATGCCAAAGTGAAACAGTTTGACTGCAAGATGGGAACTTGTGATGAGTGTATGTATATAAAAAGTCATTGTGTTCAGCGAATTTTGTCTTCCTCCCACTTAGAAAGATTAAATTATCATTAACTTAGTGATAAATATGACATACTTTATCCTCTTAAATTGTTGAAGGTTTGGGCCTAAATCAGGATCCTTAAATCTCATGATGTTGTTAAAAAAAAAAAAAAGTGATAAGTTACAAAATGAAGCTGTTCACTAATAATAAAAATATTAGAATGGGATACTTTTAAATCTTACTTATAAACTTCATGTAATTTTCAAGTATAAGGTTTTGCACATAGAGGTCAGGGAATTCAGTACAATAGTTTGCTTCCTATTATTTTTACACAAAGTCACTATGATATTTAGGAAGTTTTAAGAAAAATGCCAGGGTTGCAGATAACTATGGGTGAGTTTGCTCTACGAAGAGAAGAAGGTCACAGACTCCATCTCTGGCTTTGTCTGCTCTCTTGCAAATGAATGATTTGTTGGGACCTGGAGGGACCTACAGAAAGGCTGTGGGTGACTTAGCAAAAATCTACCACTCCTTTTATAAAAAGTTTATGTTCTGCTGACAGATCATTAGAGTCATATTTCTATATGAAGAATAGTGCTTTCATTTTCATCTTTCCCTCTCTTGTGTTCTTTTTTTTCTCTTTTCAGTTTGAAAAAGAGTTTACCGACCACCAAGAAACGCAGGCTCAGTTGCAGAAAAAAGAGGCAAAGATTAATGAGCTTCAAGCAGAGTTACAAGCCTTTAAATCTCAGGTAAAATACCATCTATCTGGAGTGAATTCGGGTATTGAAAGCTCACCAGGAGAACAAAGGTCATATCTTCATAGCACCAAAGTGTTTAAACTTTAATTTCACTTTTATGTTTTCTTAGTATTGTTTATCTGTATTTCTCCCCGGCTGTGTTTGTTTTTATTTTCCCACTTTTTTCCATTTGCATTTTTAAGAGTGGCTAAACTTTTGCTAATTAATGTGCTTCCTTATGTTTGAGTCTTATTCTTAATGCCACATGTTCCCTAAGAAATTAAACATAAAGCATAAGAAACTCTTTTACTCTTAGATTTGTCATTCATCACTGATCTTTATCCCACTAGAGGAAATTATTGCTCAAGCTATTTATTTTTCAAAACCTTCAGCCTATGGGTACCTTGCAGTGAAAGATAACCTCTAGCTGAATGAGAACATTTTCTGATAATTTTTCAATTTCCAAAAGTAAACAGATTTAAAACATGACAAAAAAAGAGAGCAAATCTGGATTATGAAGCAGATAGCTCACATACACCCTCTATACATAAAGCATTTAGATAGCAAGAAGAACATCATCTGCATGTTTTAAATGGATGAAAGTAAGGAGGTAGAATATTCATAGCTAAATTTCTTCGTGTACATTTACATACAGGATGATGAACAGTAAGTATAGTTTTACTGTTTTCCTTACATCCTAATTTTATGGTTAGGTTGAATTAATCTCAGGTATACCATTTCCTATATTGGTATGTACTAGTTCCTGTGTCATTGCGAATTTTTCTTTCTTTTAAGTACTTAGTAAATAGTTTTGTACCAGAGGCTGTTTGAAGACCCCCTAAGAGATAGCTCTCTGCTAGTGTTTAACTTCAGAGGAAAATACTGAAAAGCTCTTACTGTAAGATTATTTTCAGTGAATTTTTTTAGTGCTGCAAGAATAAAGTAAAAGAATTACTGAATTTTTTTTACTTTTTCCACATGGTTTATTATATTTCATAATAAAAGAAGCATTTGATTGCCTTTCGTGTGTTAGATTGAGCTATAACAATGACTGAAATAAATTTATGACAATTTTTTTTCTGCCAGACTAATAAAATTTAGAGATCTTTCTGATTTCTCCTAGTTGTAGGATTATATAAATCTGCTCTGGAAAATTCCACCTTATAAAGAAACATATCCACCATCTTTAAATATTTTATTGCTGCATGTGTTTTTCTTTAAGATGGGAAGAAATTTGCGTTTTGAAACTGAGATTAAATCAGAGAATCTCCTATGCCATTTTACATTGTAGATAGTGATCGCCTGTGTTTATGGTTATGAGAGGAAAGCCTCAAATTAGTGGCTTAATATTGGCCACCATACTTATTTATGAAGAACAACTAGCAAATTCTTTATTAGTATTAATTTGTATTTCTCTTGTATGCATTTATCATAACATAGTTCTCTTTGATCAAAGATTTGCTAATCATGGAAGTTATCAATAGGTTTTATTATCTGTTATTTTTATCCTTTTAGTCACTTAACAACAAGCACTGTAGGGGATATTACGGGGAGCAAAATAGTGATGACATCTGGCCTCATGAACAACAGATTCATGTCAGTCATGCTGTCTAAACTATTGCTGAGCAGAAATTCAGTCATATGTACAGTAAGGCATTGATATTTAGCTGTAAACTGCATATTGAGTGAGTGTAATATACATACATCCTTAGCATTCAAGCTATCCAGGATCACAGTGACTTAGTGTAACACTTAACAATTCCACTTTATACTTAATGTTTTTGATAAGGCCTGTTCCTTGATTTGTGGTCTCAACTTTCTTTAGAAGACTTTTTCTTGTGCTGATTGCAGATGTTGATTTCAGACTTTTATACGTGATCTGCTTTCCAGAATTGTGCCTTAAAATTTTTCAAATGATTCAGCACTTATTAAATGTCTACAACTTGTAAGGCAGTATATATATATAGATAGATAAATGGATTAGAATTGAGGTTAGTAATTTTAAGAAATAGTCACATCACAGATTTTCTCTGATCATGAAAATGCGTCTAATGAATTCTTAACTGTGATATGGAAACATAACCAAAGAGTGAACAGTGTGCATTTTGGCCCTTTTCCACTTTTACCTTTTAGTCATCTGACTGTAGAAAGGTTTTTTTTTGGGGGGGGGGGGGAGGTCATTCTTTTACCCTGTGCTTTCCTATTTCTTTTCTTGTCTTTAATTCATCCATCCTACAAATATTTCTTCGATGGCTGTCAGTTGCCAGTTACTACTTTCCATGCTGGAGAAAGAGTAATGAGTTACACAGACATAATCACTTCTCTCTGGGAGCTAATAATCAATTTGAAAGAAGTAAATATTAACGATTCTTTAAGTAATTATTTAGTGCTTAGATGAGAGGTATCAAGAAGTAATGGGTGCTATGCATGTCAGATGAGTGATCCGAAAGGCTGTCCTCGAGAATGTAGAGTTATCTCAAACTGAAAAAAACCAGTAGGATGTGGTCATATGAAGGAAGTGTGGGACCAGTTAAAGGGACTATTTTAGGCAGAAGGACCAACATGTGCAAGTGCCCTGAGATTGGTATGAAGTTGGCATATGCATATTTGCAAGTCCTTTGAAAGATGAGTTCACAGGAACCCCCTCATGACTTATCCTGGTCGGTCCAACTAAGAAGTTTTGATATTTTTCTCAAAAAAAAAAAAAAAAAAAAAAACAATCTTTTGACCATACTATTTCTATCTTTTTATCTGAATGTTCTTTTTACTTATTTATTGCTGGTATTCTATACAATTCTATATATACAATATATAGTATGCTACATACTCTGGGTGACCTTATGTATTCCCATGATTTCAACTGTCATGTAGAAACTACTGATTTTCAAATCTTCTGAATCCATTCAGTTAGACCTCTCAATGCCTTTGTAAGTTCTGGGAAACTTTGTCCTCAAGCAAAACCATGTAACAAAATCACATCATTCTGTTCAACGTGATGGGGATTTTTTTTTTTAAACATACTTGGCCAAAACTATGTTATCCAGTGACTAGCTCCATACCCATTTCCCTGGATGTCCATAAATTGCCCTCAACTGGGGAATACTGCTTCTGGCAATCACATGTTTATGAAAACAAAAGTTATAAATCTTTATTAGGTGAAAAACATGGCTGGAATTTTGTTTTTAAGTTAAACTAGGTGAAATTGCTAAAATTCAATTGTTTTTGGTTTCAAGAGATACCTTACTTTTGAGAAAAGTATACTTTACATGTTTTGTAGAGTGTTCTTAGTCATGTTCCGTATTTTTTTCCCCTCTAGTTTGGTGCCTTGCCAGCTGATACAGTTACCTCTTTGCCTCAGTTACAAGAAAATGGAATCACCCCCCAGCACTTCCTCCTCCCACATCACTGCCCTCTTGTTTGGATGTGCCACCTCCACCTCCACCTCCACCACCTCCTCCACTTCCAGGAATGTCCCTGCCATTTGGTGGTCCTGTGCCTCCTGCACCTCCCCTGGGACTTCTCAGTGGAGGAAAATCTCCTCCTCTACCAACCCTGCCATTTGGGTTAAAACCAAAGAAAGAATTTAAACCTGAAACCAACATGAGAAGATTGAATTGGTTAAAGGTAAAACAAATAAATGGCGGAAAACATACTGCTATCTAGATTAAAATTTATTTTCTTCTATAATTTATTTTTCAAAGTGAACCCCAATCAAAGTGACATTAAATAAACAGGCATTTTTTTTTTCTTTTTGAGTAAAAGTGAAGCAGATCCTTTGCTATTGTGTAAAGCTTTCAGTTTATAACTTTGGTGGAAGTCAGTGTTAATATCTACAGTGGAATTTGGTTTACAATTAAATTGATAATTCACATTATTATCATGGAACCCTCTATGGAATGTTTATCAAAGTATGCAGATGTTAGTGTTCTTAGGATGTTTTCTATGGTCACTATTGGGAAAATTTTACTAGTTGTTATAAGTTGATATTTAGGGCACAGAAATTCTGAATAAAATTGTTTTAATGTTCCTAGAACCTTGGAAATTCTATGTAATGTATCTTGCACTTGAACACTCGGTGCATAGGAGCATTGTTAAAGACAGTGAAAAGTGTAATTGAGAGAACACAAACTTTGTTTCATTCAGATTCAGATCTCCAACTATTTGATTGTGAAAGTCTTTTTTTTTTCCTGATAAAGATGTTAACTTCTTGCAGAGCTCTATTTCATTAAACACATTTTGAAGTAAAGTCTACAGATAAAACACAGGCATCTGCTGGCAGTTGTGGGATGCTGGGTCTATAGATAGTGATTGGACTGGCACGGAGGAAACATCCAACTATTTATAAAAAAGTCTTCTCTGATTGCAGATCAGACCCCATGAAATGACTGAAAGTTGTTTTTGGATAAAAGTAAATGAAAATAAGTATGAAAATGTGGATTTACTTTGTAAACTCGAGAATGTATTTTGTTGCCAACAAAAAGGTAAGTTTAACATTTTGATTGTTAATTTTAGTATTTAAACATTGCCATTTTTTATATACTAAATTCTAGAAAGCATGATTGCCCTATAAATGACATTTTTACTTTAGAATGGTAAATGTTTACAAAGTGAATTTTATTTAGAGTATCAAAAGAGCAATTAAAAAATGCAAACAATCCAGAGCTGTTTAGTTTTCTATATAATACTGTTTTTGAGGTTCTAAATTAGACTTTCATAAAGGACAATATTTTCAGAGATAATTTTGGTATGAAAATTTTCTGTAATGAAAAATATTTAATATTAGTGACTATCACATAGTTTCATTTGTATGACTCACATGGCATAGAGTACAATATTAATAGAGTAACTTAATATTACCTCTCAATTTACTTGCTTATCTCAGCAACCAAGGGTGGTTAGCAAATAGCAAAAATTGTATTTGCATTCTTTTGAAATGTTTTCTAAAATGCAATTATAAATTAGTAAATTTTTTTAAGGATTTATTTCTGCATGCAAGAACTGGGGTACAGGTCAGAGGTACAGTAAGGGTGAGAGGATTCACCAGAGACAGAATGGAGAACAAAACAGGCAGATTAACTGAAACACTGCTGAGGGGATCATCGGATGAGACCTGAGAGGTCTGCTGCACAATGTAGGTCACCTCCCTGGCTGGAGATTGAACTGCTGATACAGTGGCTGCAGATAGCTTCATACTGCTGAGACTCAACCCTTTGTGCCACCAGGAAGGCCGATAAATTAGTAATTCTTAAAAATAATTGTGTTAGAAACCCAAAAGATAAATTAATGTTGTTTTTAGAATTTATGGTAATTAGAAAGCATGTAAGAGGTATTTTAGAACAGCATTGATCTTGACCAGTGTCATGAAAATGATATATTTTCATCTTTGGAAACAGGGAATTTTCTCAGCAAGTTTTTCCTAGCAAAACTTGTGAAGTAAGCAGATCTTAATTTTACCTTTTGATTATGTAGAATCAAAATTTTCTCTGAATAAGATTAGTGTGTTCTTCAGGCAATCAAGGAAAATATATGGCAGTTAAAATGTGTATTTATATGTAAAACACTTCAGAATTTCAGATTTCATAATCGGGAATTGATTACTTTTCCTTTTGCTTTCCTAGTAGGTGCAAATGGTGGTACCTAAAAGCTATTTCAGTGATAGTGCCATCCAGCTACTCTTTTCTCTCCCTCTTTACTCTGATTACTTTCTTAATTAATGAGGCTCAAAAGGGAAACTTGTTAGCATGTCTTTAATTTAGCTGTAGTGTTAGCCCTAAATGAAATAATTGGACCTTTAAAAAATTCTTAAGTCATCTAACTTTAGACTTGAGCTTCAAGGTTGGCAAAAAAAAAAAAAAAAAAAAAAAACAACCAAAAAAAACCCAAAACAAAAAACCCAACCAATGCATTTGCTCATTCTACTACTACTTACTAAAGGTAAAAGTGAAGAAATAATTGTTTTCTGTATATTCCAGTTTCCAGTCCTCTCTGCCTTTTAAATGCTATCAACTTTGCTTAGAATCTCCTTTCATTTGACTTAGAATTTGGCACAGGTCTATAGCTTCTTTTGTCTCAGCTCAAATAATGCTTTCTCTTTTTGTGACAATGATACTTTCTTTGTGAACAGAAATGAGGGGAAAAACCCAAGGTTGTAACCCTGGGCAATGCCAGCAGGAGACAAGCTATGAAGGTGACTATTTTTTTGTCTGGATTTTCAAGCACAAGTTCTAGAAAGCATTATTTGAAGGGTCTTAGCTGTGCCTTTTGATATTACTAGTAGTTAAGTATTTTATTGGAAAAGACCATTGTTGCTTTCAGAAAGACAGTATTTTATATAGATACAAGAATGGTCAGAAGAGAAAGCAAGAGGAAAACGCATGGAAAGCTTAGACAGATCTGAGGTGGAACGGACTGGTCACTCCTTGTCATCTCTATTTATGGCCTGGCTGCTGAGGCACCAGTGATAACATTTGTCTGTTCCCTATACTCCAAAGGTTACTTTGTTTGAATTGATTTTGTAATTTCTACCGAAATCAGAATTAAACTTTGTCATTTATTTGTTGCTCAGTGCAAAGCTGAAATACAGTGTTCACACACTAGAGAGCAGAGGGAGTTAGAGGCATCGATTACTGGTTGCTTTCATCATTGGTTTGCATCACAAGTTGGCATGAAGGACCAAGGATTCAGATTACTGGGGAACAGTGGATTTTTATAGAACTGGTGTTATTGTTTCTTATATAGTAACTGGATTAGAAACCAGGGCCTTTTCTCTAATAATGAAGGTGAATATTTCATCCTAGGTATTTAAAATGTAGGTGCCAATACTTAGTTGCTTCATGAACATTTTTAAGGTGGAATAAAAACAGGAACTCAATCTTATCATTTAAAGAGAATCTTGAGATTTTCTCTGATGTTTTTAATTTTAGCTACAAAGTATGACTTTTTCTTAAAGTAGACACTGCTTTAGCTTTTTGGAGCTTTCAGATTAGGATTACTGAGTTTTAGAGTTGGAAAAGGAGGAAGTACTAATAATTACTGGATACCTGCGGTCTATCCATCTCTGAACGAGATTGTCTTTGTTACCTTCATTGTGGTTTTTAATCACTTCTGTTCTGAGCAGCATGTTACCTTATTTAATCTTGACCACATTGTGACACAGAATTTTCTCCCGCAAAGAAATTCTAACTCTGCACAATACCACTCTATCCCACCTACTCACAGATACAGCAAGATATTCTTGGTAGAACTTGGGTATTTTCCTTTATCATGTCATTTATTTCATATATATTTTTCATTTTTATTTTTTACCTATATATTTTGATTTTTAAATTAGTCTTCTCTCTGACATATCTTTAGCAGTATAGGAACTCCTTTTCTTGTGAAATAATTTTTTTCTCCAATTTTATCATTTTGTCTCTTTGGACTTACAAAATAGTGTTTTAATTCATGTTTAACAAAAATACAAAGTTGAAGTGTATAAATTATAAGTGTACCTCTATAAAATTGTCACAAAATGAGCGTACCCATGTGGCTACCCAGATCAATAGAGAAAATATAGCCAGCATTGTTCTAATGATTAATAACAAGAATAACTGTATATATTATATATATAATAAAGTATGTGTATATGTAGAGAGAGCATTATATATGCTTTAGGTTATGAATACAAATGTTAATATGTCATTTGGGTATTTTTTTTTTTATAAAGTCACTTCCTTTTGCTATTAAGTATCTCGCCTTGGTTTTCCTTGTTTCTCTAAGTTCTAAGTTTTTGAGCTAAATATTAGCTTTCCACATTTACAATTCTTCTGAAAATAACATGTAGGCATTTCTCCCCATCTTTTTCCCCTTTTCATTCCTTCCTCTCCTTTTGTCCCACTTTTTCTCTTTCCTGTGTTTAGCTACTTCTGTTCAAGTCAACACACATTCCTTGGCTGCACATTGTATGTTCAGCCTTGTATTTGGCTTTGGGACATTGTGGTTTGGAAGCAGACTAGTGCCGGGACTCATGTTGCTTTTACAGTCTCAGTGAAACTCCATCAAGTTCTTAGTTTGAACATTAGAATGAAGAGGGAAGCAACAAATGCTGATTTTTATTTCAGAAAAGACACCATATTTTACTGTCTATGGCTTCTGTTAGGACTTAACAAGGTTATAAAAAAGCATTGTTTATATATTCTCTGAAATTTAATCACAATATTCATGTATTGAACATTTGGTATCATCAAAATCATGCTAATGACCTGAGCATTTTTTACCAGATTGGAAGCATCTGTTGGTTAATTTTTACAGGCTGTTGGAAAATGAAGTAAAGTATACTAACAGGTTATTGGTGTTGGATTTATCTACTAAAATTAATATTAATTACTTTCATTATTCATAAACTGTTAACTTAATAGGGATTAAAGATTTTTCTGAAAGTATATGAATAGTCTAATTCACATAGGTTGATTTATTATGAAAATGTGAATCCACAATTGTTAGCATTCTGAAGTAATCACGTTTTATAACAGGTGCGTCATACTTTCCAGATAGGGCCAATAAATGGGTTTATAAATAATTTCTCAGCTGAACAGTTATGGCATTTGGAAACACTTAATGAATTATGCACTTAAAAACAAATCAAGCTTACATTTCTGACATCATAGTTCAGTGGACAAAGTACTGGGATAGGGAGTGATAGAGCATGGATTATCCAGGCATTTGGCTGTGTTGAGGATGTCGCTTTGTATTTGAATTACAATTTATTCCTCTGTGAACAAAATTCTGTAAAAAAACTAAACTGCATAAGCCTACCTTTAGATGGACAATATAATTTAAAAACTGCAATATGTTTTTTGGGGATGCATGTTAGCAGAGTATATTTAACACACCTTAAACATCTTAAAGGTTTCAGAAAAAGACATTTGGAAAATACTGATTTGAGAAGATTGGGGAGGAAGTCAGTGGATAATTAAATATTTTTCTTGAGAAGTATCATTTGATTCTGATCTGTGGTTGAATTTCAAAAAATCTGAAGACTTGAGGAAATTATGAGATCGGTCAGGAGTCTCCTGTTTCTCCACTAGAAAGTATCTCCTTGTTACCAGTTACCATTGTATTCTCAGTTGAGTTGCTGAGGAAACAGATTTATTCTGAATACTTTAGAGAAACAGAACCTAAAGAGAAGGCTAAAGAAGGTGGATTTCACCTGGAACACAGAATACTTTCAAGTTCACAAAATGCTTCAGTTACATGCTTAGTTTAGAGCATATCTTTGGCATGGTGTGATAGAAATTTTAAAAGTTCCTATAAATAGGCATATTCTTCTTTGGTATATTATACAGTGCTGCAAACAAAAGGAAAGAAGGAAAAAGCCTTGGGTTTATGTCTAATAAGGGGTTTATGAGCATTAGCATGGCCTTTTCCTCTGGATCCCTGTCTTCTTGCCTCTGTTTTCCTTCTTCCACTGGTCTAAGTCAGGAATGGTATTAGGTCAATGGAT